TACACCCAGGCTAACCACATTGGTGCAGCTACCAACATTGATGACCATAGACAACACCTTCCCATCGACCAGGCAATGAGAGTGAAAGTGATTATCCCTCTGCTCCATCTCTGTGTAAGCTTCAATAGATAAAGCTCGGCGTTTCACCCCAAGAAGTTTACCTGTTGGAGGTTTCTCAGCCTTGATGTGCTCATCCACATCATCATCTTCAGAATCAACATCAGAACCAAATCCAATCCCCATGGGCTTCTCTTCATACTCCTGCTCCTCAGAGAAGTACTCTCCATCTTGCAAGACAAGATTCTTCTTGTTGGGGCACTGGTTAGCCTTGTGACCTCGACCAAAGCACTTGAAGCATTGGATGCTTCCACTTGAGCCTTCATTCCTGGCTTGAATGACTAGGGTTGTGTTCCTTGCAGCTGGCTTGTCACCTTATGGCTTATGGTGATTCATGTTAGCCTCAGGAAGGTTCTCTACAACAGGTTTGGGTGAAGGTGGGTACCTTCTTCTCGAGCTCACCTTCATCTGCCTCTCTACCTTCATGGCCAAATGCACCGCTTCCTCCAACTCCACAAACTAACGAATCTCCACTTCATTCTTGACTTCCCTGTTGAGCCCATGCAGAAAACGAGCAATCATTGCTTCCTTGTCTTCCCTCACATTTGCTCTCATCATGAGCAGTTCTAGCTCCTTGAAGTACTCATCAACAGAGCGAGTTCCTTGCCGAATTCCATGCAAGGCATCATGGAGATCTCTCTGATAGAAAGGCGGAACAAACCCATCATGTGTCAAGCCTCGGAGTTCTGCCCAACTAGAAACTTTAGGCTGCAGATTCCTCTTTCGTGGTTGTTGAATCTTTTCCCACCAAACTGCTGCATAATCTGTAAACTCATAGGTGGCGACAATAACTTTTTGATGCTCTGGGTAAGGATTGCACTGGAAAAACATAATCATCTTCCTCTTTTAGTCGAGGTACGTTGATGCACTATTAGTTCCTTGAAACGAGGGGATTGAGAGTTTAATCCTCGAATCGGTTCAACGCCATAACCTCCTGCTTCCGGTGGTCTTCCTCCATACTCATAATAATCATTCTCATAGTCATTAAATGGAGGTCTGTTCTGCGGGATTACCTGACGACGTTGCTCCGTGTATTGGTGCCTCTGCATCTGCCAATCTAGGGTCACAAGAAAAGCTTGGTACACTCGATCTGCTCTTGGACCCTCTCGTTTCGCGGCTCTAGTTTGAGCTGCGACAACTACTGGATTCTCTAGTGGCAGTGGATTACCCATTGGTTGCGTCTCCAACCTGGTGATTAGGGTATCCAGTCTCTGATTCGTCTCAACCAGCTGACCTTTGATAGCGTCCTGCTGGGCCTGAAGTAAGGCTCCCATCTACGCCATCTGCGCGGCAAGCAGCTTCATAGGTTCTGCAAGGTTCTGACTCTGCTCTCCAATGACTGGTTCTTCGATTTAGGTTTCTTCTTAAGAGAGCGATTCCTCCTCTTCTTTGCGTTCTGAAATCGGATATTTGGACCTCGTTCGACAAGCAACAGGTGCTCTCGCTTTCGATCCTGCCACTGTGTTGAACTAGGTTCTGATACCACCTGATACGAGCACAGAGCCTATACGCGTAGTTATCAAAGTACGTAGCTTCAAGAACGAACAATAGAACGTCTGTTTAGGGGTTTTTATTTGTAAGGATATGGAGGAATCGAAAGTGCAATCTCAACACAAATTTGGGAGAAGACTTAATCAATATAAGAGATAGAATCTCGACCACAATCAAGGGGGAAACTTGATTGATAGAGAGAAAAAGTGTAACATCCCGTTTCGGCTAAAATCGTATTATTGTCACTAGAAAATTTCACGATTTAAAATCGAGCATTTTGGCAGTATTTCGACGAAAATCGGATTATCGATCGATCGGATAAGTATACGTATTAATTATATATATTATATAATATTATATAATATATTATATATATAATATATATATGTGCGGTCGGCATATATAATTTACCCGGTCCATTTCCATCCCCATCACTTGCGATTTCTTTCTTTCACTTTCCATTTCCGAAGAGAAGCAGAGCGTGCAGGGTAGCCTCGGAGAGAAATTGCAGAGCAAATTTCTTGAGTTCTACTGATCCAAAAATCCCGTAAGTAATGGCTAATTCATCCATTCATCGTAGTTTATCGATTTAGAGCTTTAAAACGAGATTTTGGTTCGGGAATTTTTTGAATTCCCGATAAGCCAAATTAGGGTTTCGGAGTATCCGGAAGCCGGATTGAGCCCAAATTTCATATACGAGCTTCCTGCAGCGAGGTAATTAATCCTCTAGTTCCAATCCATGAATTTCGGCTATTATTTAGGTCGGAGCCGGGATCGCTGAATTTAGCTCCGGCCAGGGTTTGATGTGTTTTTATCAAGAATTTGACCCGGAGCCTAGAACTAATATTGACGGGGATACTGCAGGGGATATTAGGACACTCTCGGATTTTAATTCGGGGTTCGTTCGTGAAATTGACGTTTTCGTACGGGAGGCTAGAACCGGTGTTTGAACGACCAGAACTGGTGAGGGATTAGCACGGCATACCGGGTTTGTCGTATCACGATAATTATATTGATGCTGGGAATTGACCTAGGTGAATTAGAATGACATGATTAGGGGTGTATGGACTTTTGTGCTATATGATGAACCATGGATTGTTTTATGATATTATTGACTTGCCCTAATCGACATGGACCTTGTTTATGCTGATGATTGTCTATATGTTGCAAATGTGGGCTTGACTGTTAATATGCTTTATGATGGTTCGAGAAGGTGATTAGGTATGGTTTTTCATGATTGTTGTATTTGGATGCACAAGTGGGAAAATATATATTCCCTGGTGATATTATGATGTTTTAAGGAGGATGACTTGCACGAGGGTTTATCCCGAGGAAGTGCAATTATACGACTCCTGATTTACCTATGTTGAGCCAATTGTGGCCAGGTCAAGTACATGTGCAAGTAATGAATTATGATTAAGCAAGATGAGATATGAATCATGTATAAGGATACCAAATATGAGTGTTGTGGTCTCACGGTCAACTACATAGTAATTAGGGCTCCCTATGCTATTACTCTATTAAGATATGTATGATAGTCACACCTCTCATGTGGTGGTGACTGAAGTATTCTTACGAGATATGACCACACCCAGAGCGGTGTCGGGGTATGACTACACCCATAGTGGTGTGGGGTATGTATGACCACATCCGACGGGATGTTGGGGTATGTATGACTACATCCGACGGGATGTGGGGTATGTTTCCCGGGAGAGTTATTAGCATGGGAGTAGCCAGGCGCCTATAAGTAAAACATGATAAGACGCATATGCATAAGTCAAGGTGGCTGAGTCTTTTGCCTATTGGGATGTCGGATGGCTGAGGTCTGATCCTAGTGTTTTGGCTTATTTGCTAGATGTATGGTAGAGGTATGCTCTGTTATGAACTCACGATGCTATGATTATCTCACTCAGCTATGAGCTGACCCTTTTTTATCCTTTTCCTCTGCTTATGCTATGTGTAAGCAGATCATCAGCAGCAGCAGTAGATAGGTGTTAGGTGGGAGAGGAGCTAGAGTTGAAGTTAAGATGAGGTATGGTCTTCAACTATTCTGTGCTTGGACGACTACTTGAGATTTTGGCCAATGATCCACACCTTTTTGTAAAAAAATGTTTTGAGAACGTTTTTCATGTGCATACTATCTTCTGATGTAGTGTGAGATATCCACAGGTGTGGAAAGTTGATGATATGTGTATATTTGTGTAACTGTGTAAGTTGTGACGATTATAGCATGTATCAGTATAATATGCAGTTGTGTAGTATGAAACTGTGACTATGGCTATGAAAAGCCAATGCATATGGTTGTGAGTATATATGTTTGTGATGAATTATTTTGTAGGATAAGTTGCAAGAACTGTTAGCCCATTACGCGAGTAATTCATGTCGAAATTTTATTTGGGTAAATTTTGATAATTAGTGTAACACCCGAGATTAATTCCGCTGAAATTTTATGAACAATATGATTAGGTAAAACGTACAGGGTAGGGTGTTACAAAAAGTTCAAGCCTCAAGCTAAAAACCAAGATAAAAATCAATATTATGCTAAAAACTAACCCAAAAACCTGAGTTTCAGGCTTTATATCGGTCTCGACAATTCAAAATAACAAAAACAGCTTAAACACACAAATTCCCGTCACCCAGGAAAAATACCCGGTCGTAACTAAAATTACCTGGTCGGGTATTTAGCCTCCACGACCGGGTGGCTTTCTGCCCAAAATGCCAGTCCCCTGCAAAATACACGGTTTGTGCCCAAAATACCCGGTCGGGTATTTAGAATGCTTGGCCTGGTATTCCCCCCTCCGCCAGCCCTTCTTCCGCTGCTGCTGGGGCCGCATCAGTCTTACTCCACTTGCTACCCTAGCAATACAATCCAACGAAATAACCTAGCTAATGAACATTGAGTTAAGAACCAAAACATTATCTAAGATGTAGAAAGAAATTAACATAAATATGCAAAGGCATAAAGTTATGCAGTTTGAAGCTACAAAAGGTGTTTTTTCAGTGAATAACTATTTTAAAAAGAAGAGATTAAAATTAAAGAAATAAATAGATAAATAAGTAAAAACATTTGGGACTTTGGGAGGTGGAAAACGTGTCTGGCCATGAATAGAATCGTGGGAATGTAACTACAAGAAAAATGGAACCGCCGCCCAAAATTCTTGTTGCCACCGAAAGGACTAGCTGTAGGAATGCAGATCACAACAGTTATGAAGCCCCCCTGCAAAAAAGGCAGAATCCACTGGAAAAGAATTTGATGGATGGAGGGAAAGGCATGGTCGGCGACTCATGATCGCGTAGGCAGCAAACTGCTCGAGCGCATGATGACGAAAGAAGACCAAAGTGCACATTAACTTGCATATTAATGATAAAAAACAAGCAAGAGGTCTACACCTTTAGCGCAACCACATCACCCAAAAGTCAGATGAACTGGAATCAACTTCACCACATCCATCATCAATAATTTGCTGCAATTCCACATCTAATAACACCGGAAACAAAGTGATTATAGTGATTAGTCTCTAATTTAATGGCACTAAAAGACATCGACATATGATCAGGGAACAAGTTCAATCATTTGAAAACCAAGAAACTGTTGGAGTCGATAATATTCTCCGAGAAGATGACTTCTGAACCTATATGAACTTCACTTACTAATTCCTCGAGGAGCAAACACTTTGAAGGAGGCATCAATAGCTTCTTTGTAGTTGTCCTCGTCCATTGATATCATCTTGGCTTTAAGAAGCTCCTGATGCAGTCACGAGATGACTATAAGCATAACTAGACAGCAAAAGGGAACAACATATTCAAGTGAGCCGACCAACAACAAACTTTCTACCTTGAACTCCTTTTTCTCGTCCCTGGTTGACGGAAGAAGCCATCATGAGCTCTGGCCCACTGCTCAGCCATCTTCACAAGAATGACAACATAAGGTGTGTGCTTATGGGCAACAAGATCTGCCACATTCAAGTCGATTGTATATGCAAAACTAGTGTAATTACAGCATGTAAGGGCATATATCGAATATAAGCAACAATGACACAAACAGAGATTTTATGATTCAATGCAAGACACTTAGCAGCTTGCTCGACTCAAACCACTAAAGTCACCATCGGACAAAATGAATTGGAAAGATACCTCTTAAGCTCCGGCCATGGCTTATTCAACATAAGGTCATTGAGAAAATGATCAGGCTTTGACTCAATGACCACATGTTCCTACAAAAACAAGTAAAATTCTTTTAAGCATCCCTTGGATGTGTATAAATATTCAAAATCAATCACGTCCTAATTCGCTTTACATATTGTCTTCAAACCTGACTAGCTTCTACTTTCCTATTTTTTGCACTACCAAATAGGATTATTAGTGAACAAGTATATATATATATATATAGAAAAGTAAATTTCAAAAAGAAGTACCTTCACATTGATTCTAACAAGCCCTGCAAGTCCATAAGAACACGCAAACAACAACATTACATTTGCCTCCCTACAGATTCTATCCAGCTTAATCATGGAGTCCTCGGCGAGTTGCCATGCAATGGCATGAAATTAGCATTAGAGCATACACAAAAATATCGTTATATTCATGAAATCAACTTCCTGATAGCATGTATAGTGGCCAAGAAAGGGTAAGTAATTTGAGAATTGTGTATTATAATATGTCACTATGTCAGATTAAGGAGAAAGAGGATGTCATCCCAGGGAAAATAAGATCAGATAAAGGGATGGTGAAATGCAAGAATTGGTACAATAGATAAATAAAATGGCAGATGTCCGCAAAAGCAGTTGCCAATATTAATCATAACCTTAACTAGGATCCTCGTAGAAAGCCACAAGCAACTTTTGCAAGCCTACATTATCAGAAGCGAAAAAAACCTTACATACCAGTGTGGCTACTACCAAAGTTAATTGAGAAAAGAATGATGGATTTGTCTTAATCAGAGCCTTTGGGTACTCTTCTATGAACTTAGCTTTGACTGCATCATTTAGTTCTTGAAGAAACGTACACACAATTTTCGCCTTCGATTGTCCAACACTAGATTCATCAACTACCAAAAGCATAAAACAACTAAGTAAGCTATTGAAAAGCCATTACAAATTTTCATCCGATTTCGAAGTAAGTACATACCCATGAAATTGTTTCCAAGTTCACCAACTTCCACTTTTGATCCATCAACCACCGTGATTGATCCAAATCCACCAAGAACAAGGTTCTTCAATGTCTCTAAACCAGTAGGACCACATTTAAGAAAGCATATGCTGGATTTCTCCAAGGCCTGTCCTTGTTCCCCCACACCCCCCCCCATATCCTTAAAATAACCAACAATAACAGCTTTAGGAGGATATCGGAAAACAGAAAAGCTTAAACATATGAATGCTCCCTAAAGAAGCACATAGTTTCTAAAAACCAGTAAACAGTTATTAGCATGGATGGTGCGAATCAACCCCCTGAGTAATTTTGGTTTGTAGTACTAGTATCCTGCACAAGACCATTCGCTCACTTTTTTCCCTTCCGCTAACTACTAATCAAACTGCATCTTAATATAATCAAAACAGCGGCAAGTCTGCGAAAGCACAGGGGAAAAAGATTTTTTATCTTCATATTGATCCTTTTCCTCCACAATTATGAGCTACAAATTAATCCATAATTAAATTTCAGCAGTCTTCCTCATCTTTTACCGCATAAATACTACATTACCTAGAAAAATCCCAACCCTTCAACCAAAACTTCAAACTTCCCCACCAATCAAAGTACTCGCCCGTATACTTAAGCAACAAAATTTCATAGCAAGATGAAACATAACTAGGGCAATAGAGAGCAAGCAGAGCTAGTGGGATAAAAATAAAACTCAACTAGGAAGCCGTGAACAAGTAGTGGAATGAAAAGAGTATTTGAGTTGCCGATCGTATTTTACTTTTGATTCCGCCATTGCTTGCCGATGCGAGTGTTTTTCCTATTTCCTGTAGAAAAGCTCTAGGATCTAGGGTTAGAGGTAGAAGAAGAAGAAAGACGGTATGGATTGGGAACCCGTAAGGAGGAAAGCCCTCATGTTGTTCGTTTATATATGACTGTGAATTGGTAAAGAAGTTCATCTAAAGTAAAACTGGAAATGGGAAGCTAAACGGTAAGTCAAAATAGACAGTAAATAGTTCTCCACGTGTGTTGTCTACGTTGGCCTTCGTGAACTCCATCTAACGGTAAGTAGAGAGCTAAACGTCGTCGTTTCATTCTTCACTGAAGTTGATGGAGAGAACAGGGGATGAAACGTTTCTTCTGCAACTCAATCTTCCATTTCCATTGAGCAGCTTCATGACCTTCAAGCCAAACTTCTTCATCTGTATCCTTGTCTGATACTCCCCCGCAAGCTGGTGAGTAAGCATTGTGAACTCCCAGCTTGTCAAGGAAAAAATTCAGATGAAATTGAGTGACCCCTTTAGTGAAGATGTCTGCAATCTGATCATCCACCTAACAAACATGGAGTAATCTGATGAGGGCTTTGTGAGTCAGTAAGATGCTCATAAGAGAATTTTTGCCATATGTGGTGTTTTAAGCAAGAAGCAGCTATGTTGACATGATAATCCTTGTGCCATACAGGGACAGTATGAGTTCTTGTGGATTTTCTAATATATTCATCTTCATCAGTATCATTAGTATTAAGGAAGACCTCTATCTCAGCATCCTTCCCTACAGAATGTGAACCTAAGCCCTCACTAGAAGGAGAAGACTCACTAAAGAGAGGAGTATGTGAGGAAGAGGAAGGAGGTGAGGAAGAAAGGGGGACATTCTAGGAAGAAGAAGGGATTGCAGGAGAAGGAATAGCAGGATAAGGAATGACATTTGGAATTGGAGATAAGGTAGGTGTAATACGGTCTCGAATGAGAGGAGTGGATGGAGAGGTGACAGGAGAGATGTTAAATGGAAGGATGGTTTCATAGAATGTGGCATCTCTGGAAATAAGGAAGGAATTGCAGTTGCGGTCATAAAGCTTATAGCCTTAGGTGCCAGAAGGAAAACCAAGGAAGATGCATTATCTTGCTCTACTATCAAACTTGGTCCTGTCTCGATGGACTATGGTATCATAACAAAGGCAACCAAAGACTCAAAGGCCAGAAAGACTTGGAGGTTTGTGGTAAAGACATTCGTATGGTGATTTGTTGCTAAGAACAAAAGTGGGAATACGGTTTATGAGATAAACTGCATGTAGAACACAATCACTCTAGAATTCTAATGGGACACCTTATATGATCCCAAATTAGCCCTCAACCAAGCTGGAATTGATTGATCAAGAAGGTAAGCTAAGTGCATTAAAGAACACTGAATTTTGGCTAAGACCTTTTACAGTTTCAGGTAGCCAACTTTGGACGTGTGTAACGCTTTTTGGCTCGATGGAAATGAGTGTTTGAGAGTTTGTTTTGAATATGGTGATACCCTATACACATTGATATGCTTTGGAGATCAATTGGGAGCCTAGAAGGATGTTTTCCAGGCTATGCAAGAGTGGCAGCTGAAACCGGGAAGCTGCCAGAAAATGCCTAAGGCATGGAACCAGTTCGGGAAGGGAACTTTGGAGCTCGGTTCCTGGAGATTGGGGAAGATTCGAGATTCATACACATAAAAACAGGTTTGTTTTAGTTCATCGACAAGGCATTCGATGATCAAGGTGATGCCTGGAAGAGCTCGACCGATAAGGCCAAAGATCTTCTCGAGATAGGAGTTTCTGCCATGAAGAATAAGCAATCTTAATCCTATTCGGATTAGGATTAGTAGACTATTTGTGTTTTAATTCGTTTATGTGTTGGTTTTGGATTCCTTTTCGTAGTAGATTGTGATTGAAACTTCTTTGATAGTTGATAGGAGTATCTAGGTATATTTAAGTCGTTCTAATTCGTTGTAATAGTTATTTTTTGAGATTGAATTGAATAAACCGCAAGGTTGAGTTCCATAGCTTTGGCTTTGTGAATTTGGAGATCTTCCTAGCTGAATCTAGGTTAGATTTCGAGCTTGTATCGTTCAGTTAATCCCACTGATCATGGCCAAGCATCTACCCAAAGTTTTCGAGTCTCTTTCCCTACGAGAAGGTTGCACGAAATCACCATCCCAAACACGAACCAAAACTCTGTTTTGTGTTCTTATTTACTTAGTTTGTGATTCATTCTTTGGATTGAATCTTGTATGCTTCTCTCATTCAAAACCACCCATCTAGGGGGTTATCAACACCTGATTGACATCTAAGTGATCTGGCTGCATTGAGGATGTGTTAGTGTTTCCTCTCAACCTGGCATTCTGTTCAGGTGTTTCAAAACAAAACAGTTGGTGCTCAATTCCATGAGTTGCATAGAACTCAGCCATGTCGAACTTAGACCACTGATCACTTCTGATAACTTTCACTTATTTGGAGAATTGTTTTGAGACTATTACACAAAAAGATTCAAGCAAATGACTGGCTTCAGACTTAACTTTCATCAGGTAAGTCCAGACTCCCCTAGAGTAGTCATTAACTATAGTGAGAAAATAAGAGTAACCCTCATGGGATTTAATAGCAAGAGGACCCCATATGTCCACATGAATCAAAGCAAAAGCCTCATGTGCATGAGAGGAGCTAATAGGGAAATGAAGTTGTTTCTGTTTGGCATATGACAAGTTAAACAATGTAAAACTGAGGTCCTATTACAAGGTATTAAGAGTTTTTCTTTCTCTCTATGAAGATGACCTAGCCTCCAGTGCAATATTGGAATGTTTTGAGGAGTCAAATTGTAGATAACTGTTGCTTGGGAGTGAGTTGAATAAGGTTGAGAGGTCTTGAATGGTAATTGATAGAGGCCTCTAATCTGTTTTGCCAAACCAGTCCTGTTGTGGGTCATGAGGTCCTGAATTTGGCAAAAATTAGATTCAAAGTTAAGAAAATGGGTAGGTCATTTGTGAGCTTACTAACAGAAACTAGGCACAAGGAGGACATTATCTAGGATTAAATGAGAAGGTAGTTTGACCCTTCATACATGACTCACAGCTACTTTTGTTCCATTAGGCAAGTAAACAAACTGATTATGTACTGGAGTTGATTCAATGAAAAGGTCTAGATTGCAGGCAATGTGGTCTGAAGCCCCCTAGTCTCAAGTATGCATATCCCCATGAGAGCATTCTTCTGATGTTGTAAGTGAGAGGAAAGAATGTACTTACCAGCAAAATTGGGGAAATATGGAGTATGTTGTGCCACAGATAAAGCATGATGATTCATTGATGGTGATGCAGTTGGAGAGGGACTGGATGAAGGAGAGAGAGTTGAGCAAGAACTTGAGCTTGTTCATTTCCTCTAATGACAACCCAAAACTTGTATTAGAGGTCCTGATGTCAATGCTCAACTTTGTGTCTAAGCTAGTAGTATCACTGTCACTAGATGAATCACTCTAGGAAACAGCTGCTACAACATTTCCACATGCCATCCTGCCTTCTTCCTCTTGAGACTGTAACAGTCTTCAATGGCATGTGGTTCTCCTTTTTGCAGTATCTGCAGAATTTCTTGCCATCTGAACCTTCTGCATATCTATTATGATTCCCAGAGTTGCCTGATAAAGCAAGGGCAACTGTCTGAACCCCTCTAGTCACTCCACCCTTGTCACCTTTAATATTTTGTTCATGTTGAAGAAGATCGTTGACTGAATTGTCCACAGTAAGCAATGGTTTCATTATTAAGAGTTGAGTGTAGACAACATCATACTATGGTCTTAATCCTTTTAGAAAACGAATGAGATACTCAACTTCCTGTTTCTGCTTAATAGCTTCCATAGCTGCACAGGGTCGAGTTCTCTGGACAACTTAGTCACATTCAACGATGGGGTTAAACTAAAGATTTTCCTCCCATAGTCCCTTGAACACAGTATAGTATTGGGTAATGTTTATGGAACCTTGTTTACAAGCAATGATCTAGTCTTGTAAGTTGGCTAACTTAATTTCATTAGGAAGACAAAAACGCTTCTTCTATTCTTCCCAAATAACCGAGCATTCTCATGCTGCATGACACCGCGTCTAATTTCCTTATCAATCGAATTGAGAATCCAGCACAGAACAAGTGTATTAGATGCATCCCACAACCCATAATTTGGATCTCCCATAGCAGGCATTGGGATGGATCTGTCAATAAAACCAATTTTGTGCTTCGTTTTCTAGGCCATATGAATTTCCCTTTGCCAAATCTGATAGTTGGGACCATCTAAAATCTCGGAAACAATCGACTGTGAGATATTTTCATTCGGGTTTATGTAGAAGGGGTTACCAAATAGAAGATCTGGGCGATCTGTGCGTTCTTTG